CCTTACGTTCTCATAATGCTACATACAGAGGCAAGCTGGAAACATGCAAAAACACTTATCTGTAGCTGTCATTCCGGAGCTCTCCAAAAACACGTCCGACCTCTACCACCACTTCCATTACACATGTAAACGAAATCACTTGCCGGTTCTGGGAAGGCAGCGCCGCCTGGTGGTGATTGCGGGAACTCAGCCTGACGGTCGGCTCCCTTTGATCCCGGCGGCAAAGCGCAGGCACAGAAAATAAAGGAGGCTATGGCTCGGCTTGCACTCATTCTGGCATATCTTGGGCTACTCGTAGTGAACGCCACCGCTACTGATTATGATAGCCATGCAAAATGAGAAGCAAGAATATCTGTAGCAGCTACTCGAAAGACCTGCAAACTAATATTTTGGTACTGTCACTCTATAAACATGCGAAGTGATTTCGTTTACATAAGGAGCGAGAGGCCACCACTCTATTATTAGAAGAAAAGGACGCGGGTGACAGCGTATTACCTCTGCGCCAAATACGCTTTGAAAACCCGCCTTTTTTTTTTTTTGCTCACGTCACTGGGATGCATGCTTGTAGAGAAAGTAAAGCGTTGACATCACGAGCACTGTCATACTACAAGACCCGCGCAAGCAAAGATTTGCGACTAGTGAATTTCAGAAGCGAAGTCAATACGAATCCAATAGTGGTATTGGATTCGTATCCTCTTTCGTATCTTCTTTCGGATTCGTATCTTCTCTTTCATTATATGCTGCATTGTTAATATATTACTTGCTTTGAAAAGTGGCGCAGAGGCAGTTTAACAAAGTGCATTTTCAATAAATCAAAATACGCTTTTGTAGGATATGCACCTTATTAATATTTCCTTTGTTGTTGTTCCCCATACACGGAGGCTGTATCGTAAATGGGATTGAATTAGTGCGTAATATAGCTGGTTTTTTAAGCACCGCGGCAAAAGTTGTTTTGCTCTACTTTTAATGCATAGTGCATATGAGATGCGTCTTGTAACATTATCAACCTGGGGGACCAGGTGAGATGTTTTTCAAAAACAACACCGAGAAATTTATTTGTTCTTGATACGCTCGATAACTTCACCTCGTAATTTTATGTATACGTTACTTCCGATTAATGCATTTCGTGAGCGAAAAAGTATACATTTAGTTTTCTTTGTATTTATTTCCAGTTGATTCAATATAAGCCATTCAAATCAATTATTGAACCATTAATTAGGCTGGGACTTAAGATGTAATTTCCTACTAAAAATACATTCGTGCCGTTGGCATAAATAACTATATCAGGCGTCAGCAGAACATTTCTATATCATTTATATATAATAAAGAAAGAAGTGGTTCAAGAATGAAACCCTGAGGTACACAATAATAATTTTCCCGAAAACTCAATTCGATATATTGGGCGTCCTTTTACTGGTAGTGGTTAATTAAATAACTATGTGTGAGGTCGAGATATAGTCCCTTAATACCATATTCCCTCAACTTTTTTTAATAAGATGTCATGCTTAACAGAGTCAAATGCCTTTTGAACTCAAGAATAATTCTTAGAATGTGCTTTTTGTCTTCAAACTTCTGAATGATTTTTGTATGATAGTTGTAAAGCGCCATTTCATTACACTTTATTTTCTGAAAGCCGTATTGGTTATCTGAAAGTATATCATTTTTAGTACAGAGTTTCGCAATTTTTACAATAAACATTTCTTCAAAAACTTCTTAAAACAGTGCTAATACCGACATTGAGGTGTATAGTTGTTGATATCATTCCTATCACATCGCCCCGCCGCGGTGGTCTAGTGGCTAAGGTACTCGGCTGCTGACCCGCAGGTCGTTGGTTCGAATCCCGGCTGCGGCGGCTGCATTTCCGATGGAGGCGGAGATGTTGTAGGCCCGTGTTTTCAGATTTGGGTGCACGTTAAAAAACTCCAGGTGGTCAAATTCTCGGAGCCCTACACTACGGCATCTCTCATAATCTTATGGTGGTTTTGGGACGTAAACCCCACATATCAATCAATCAATTCCAATCCCCTCCTTTATGTATAACTGCTACTTTAGTGATTCGTTGTTTATCAGGAAACACGCCTGAGATCAAAATGTGGCAAGATATGTGTGATAAAGGATTGATGATATGGTTGACAGCTGCTTTTCTCGGCATAGCTTTCAATTCTTCCTCACACATGCGCACACATTCTTTAGTTTTAGTGTTTGAGATTCAATCTCGTGTTCTCTTATTGAACAGTCGAACCCCTAAATGCACCTAATTGACCTTCCTCAACGAATACCAGAGCGCCCCGATGGTGCGCGGTGCACTCCGGGGGAAGTGTGCACATCGCGCGAACCGGCTCTTCTGTCGCTGACTGCTCGTTGGGGCCTTCGTTGCAAGAGAAACACAGGTCGCCGCTTCTTCACTGTTCTTGTATGATAAATGCATTGCAAATATCCAAAGGCATCTGGGTGTGTCCACGCATGGAGCATAGAAGCAATAACGCAGTAAGAGTAGATATATATAACCAAGGGGGCATGTACCGTGCGTCAGTTAAGCAGCATGCTTTTTATCACCTTGTAAAGACGAACTAATGTGAGCACAATGAGAATGAGCACGGAATTCCTGTTTATAAACCTTTTCGCTGGCTCGTAACTACCGTGGTTGCCAGGGCGCACCACCGCGCCTCAAAGCGGATGTGCTCCCAAGAAACTTCCGGCATCCCCATAGGCAAGCATCGGCGTGCACTCGTAGATGATTATTCTCGCCCGCATGTTGCTTTAGTCGTGCGGGTGTCTTTGTTTTTGTCGTCCCAACATGTTCTCGGCGGCTAAAACATCGCCTGTGACACCATCACGACGTGATCCATGCTGTTGTGTGCCAGGCTGCAGCTTACGGCCGGGAACAAACCTCCTTTCGGAAGTGCGCACTTGCAGGTTCCCTACGGCCACGCAGCGAAGAAATGCATGGATCGCAGCTGTGCGTCGGGACAAGTGGCAGTGCACGAACAGTTCGCTTGTTTGTTCTGCTCACTTTGTATAAGGTGAGAACCATTTTTATGGAGATCCCTGTAGTTTGTTACCATTGCGCGCCTGTACGTTGTCGGTAACCGTAACGTCCGCATTTGCCCAGTTCTTTGTCGCTCTTGGCAGCAGAGCCTCGAAAAATCACTTTTATTTTATAGTTGTGTGGCGTAGTATAGTGGCACCTGTTGTTAATGCTCACTTAGTGCTAAACAGAAGCGTCCTTTTTTGTCGTTTTCGAGACCAGCTTTGCCGCGATAGAGACTTCAAAATTTCTTCGCCAAAGTTGAGCCGTTTTCGTAATTATTTACCTTTGCGCGACTAAGAGGCCCTAGTTTCAGGCGTTCCATGCTGCTTTTGGGATCACGTGGCCAGTCCCACACGCGTCTACCTTCTTTCAGAGGGCGCGGAATCGGATACCGCCAGAGTGTCATTTAATTCCGTCGGACGTTTAGAACCCACGGTGGTCCAAGTGAGCCTGCGCTATGGCACGACTTGCAGCACTGGCTAAGCCCTGCAAAAACTTATTGGTTTGAACGGAACGCTTGACCAGGCACAGTGCCTTGCTGTATGTTTACTAACCCTTTCTGCTGTCCCAACTCGAGGTCCGCACAATTGACGACAGACAACCGGTCACGCAAATCGCTATAACTTCATTAGTATTGATCTGCTTCAGAATGTTAAAAAAAGGAACTGAACGTAGGCTTGAGTGCAGGCTTAACTTACCAGGCTGTGTTTGCTACTCACAATAAACGTAATAAAATGCCACAGACGAAACGGCCTTGTGCAGATTCATTTCTTTCCCGTCTGTGGCGGCTGCATTTCCGATGGAGGCGGAAATGTTGTAGGCCGTGTACTCAGATTTGGGTGCACGTTAAAGAACCCCAGGTGGTCAAAATTTCCGGAGCCCTTCAGTACGGCGTCTCTCATAATCAAATAGTGGTTTTGGGACGTTAAACCCCCCAAATCAATCAATCAAAGATTCATTTCTTATTCACGTGTAAAGCATCCAATCCCTGGAAAAGTTCCTACTTAATTTCTGACACATGCCTTAAAAGATAACCTACTTCTATCAAAGCACCCTTAGTGTTGAATACTGCCAAGTGTGCGATAAATAAGAACATCTGTTATGTGAGTGCCCACCGTACGTGTTACAATGGAAGACACAGGCTTCATTGCTAGCAGGAATCGGATTGAAAACACAACGTGAAATTTATATTTTGTGCACAGTGTCCAATGAGACAATGTCAACATATGTTACAAGAGCAGTTATAGACTTTATTAAGACCACTGCACTGCACACTATACTGAAAAAACCATTGTTTGCAAGGTTACTCGGTATACACATCCCTTCATACTGTCCCCATCATTGTACTTCATCACGTTTTTTTCTCCCTTTCCTCCCTGGGCAAAGTAGCATGCTAGAGCATAATAATGCAGGCCAACGTCTTCACTTCAGAATAAAGTTTTTCTCTCTTTGCCGTTGTCTTGAACTTTAGAAGAGAAACTAAACTGAACGTGGATAGTGAGTAATTGTGGAATTTTTCGCAGCTAGACAGGTATCTATGAAATCCGTTTACCTTTAAATACTGGTTTCCTTTGAAATGACGCTGTGCTCTTTTTTTTATAGGTCAACCCTCATGTGAACCGACTCATCCATACTTCACACCATCCGTCTTCCCTTAACATGCTGCAGGAAATGTTACCCAAAAAATGGCCAAGTTTAAACGTGCTGAACAAAAAGAAGCACTAAAGCAAGCATGCACACATGCTGCATATGCTCTTGGGCAAATCAAATGTATTATAGACCAGTGGCATACATTTCTGGGATAGCTGCAAGTGGTAAAGCACCGGATGCTCCCCACCCTGTCTCTCCTGTAAACTCAAATGTCTGCATTGTAGAGAATTTTAATATGGATACACAAACTGATTTCGGAATGGAAGATGTGTCACACTTCATCAAAGAAAATGAGGCACAGAGATACCGCTTGACTTGCCTAGAGCAGGATCTCACTGCAGCAAAGAAAAAAAAAATGTTTAGCTTAAGAACCAACAGGTAAACTTTTCTGTAATAACAAAAGATATGGTTATGCAGACATCGAAAACTGTAAAGTTAATACAGGCTTTGCGTCGGCAGGCATGTTCTCAGCATTTGCTAGGTTAGTGCTGTCCACATGGCAACCGTGTGCTGCATGCCTGAATCCATAAACGCAATTATTCCTGGTCATCATAAGGTTACGCTTAGGCCTCCTAACGCAAGACCTGGCATGCAGATTCAGTATTTCGAACAGCATTGTCAGTGACATCTTTCATACGTCAAGCAAATCAGCCAGCAGCATTTCGGGACGTTCTGTTTGATGGTCCGACAGAAATGATAGACTACACAGAAATATTTATACAGAGGCCTATGGTGATGACTGCGAGGAGACGAACCTACTCGAACTATAAGCACCACAATACAGTGAAGCTACGTGCTGTATACAACACCTTCAGGAGCCATGTCAAAAGCTTTGGGATGAAGGGTATCAGACAATGAATCACTTTGCGTAGCGGCCTTCTAAAAAATTCAAGGAAGGGGACGTTTCCCTCGTTGATCGAGGATTCCGCTGCCAAGACATGTTTGCTACGCGAGGGGTGACACTGATGAGGCCATCAATGAGAAAAGTCGTCCTCAGCTAGCAGGCGCTGAGATGACGTCTCAAAACTTCACGCGTTCGCATAAACGTCGAAAGAGCAATTCAAAGATTGAAAGTTTTTAGGATCTTCCAACTGTGCTGCCTCTGAATTTTGAGAAAAGAACGTCAAGAGCTTTGCAACTATTGACAAAGTGGTGATTGTATGCAGTGCATTGGTTAATCTGCAAACCCCAATCATCAAGATTTCTAATCGTCACGCTAAAGAACCCCAAGTGGGCTAAATTTTTGGAGCCCTCCACTACGGAGTCTCTCATAATCTTATGGTGGTTTTAGAACGTCAAACCCCGCATATATATATTCGTAATAGTTCTGGTAATTCATAGCTGCTACGTTGGTACGAAATTGAATTGTGCTGTGCCATATACTGAATATTCCGTGTTTTTGGAGTTCTTTTTTTCTTTTGAAGTTTGGGTGGTTCCGGGTGGACATACAGTGCCTGTTGGGGATATTAATATAATACTTTCTTAGGAGGAAGCGTTGCACTACCGGAGCTTATTTCTTGTGAATCTCCCATTCTACACAAGTCGGCGTTTAGTTCAGCATTATGAAACGGTCCATTGTCTTGTTAATTTCATTTCGAGTAAACATGCGTTGAGTGTTGCTGACATTCTGTTTTTCCATCCTTTCAATTCTTCTCACTTGCTACTCATTCACCCTGTTCATATGGCTGTTGATGAGTGTTGCTGTAAACTCATACTAGTGTACTTTTGGGCGGAGCAGTAGCTCGTAAAGCCCCTTCTCAGCTTTTTCTGCAGCTTCCTTCATCTTCTTGACAGAAAAATAGGACCCTACTGCTGATGGTGTTTTAAATACTACAAAATGTTAGATCAAATGGTATCCGTATAGCACGAAAGCCTGTAACACAGTACAATTTGAAATGTCTCGAAGGTTTGTAGGTGACACCTCATACACATACTAGCACAAATACTGAAACACATAAACTATGTTGTTTAAGTATATCACAACTTCATATGGCGGTTGTAGTAAGCACAAGCATACTTTACGAAGTTGCTCCCGCTACGTAGGTGCGCTCCTTGGGACTGATCATTGTCAGCTTCGAAAATGCCTTTGACATGCTGAAGAAATGCCTCTTGAAAATCTGAAGCTTATTGTATAATATAATTGGTTTGAAGTTTCCCAGCAAGTGGTTATCGAATTTATAACAAAATCATAAATATTTAAATATAGGGGAAAGAAACACACGATCGCAAATATGTGCTGGTGGGCATTATGCTTGCATAGCGAATACAAATGACATTTACTGTACACTTCTCGTGCTGCCATAGCTGGCTGCGAAACAAGTAAGTTGAAGCTACAATGATTTTAAAAAATTTCACTTGGAACAAATAGTTCGCAATGTAAATTTTCAACAATGCAACCGATGGGCAACTTGCACATTTACCGTCAAACTTGTTTATTTGATAAGCTTCAATTATCTCACGCGTGGCCTGCGAGTTGTGCTTGCTTAATACCTCACAACGCTCAAAAACTGGCACTCAAAAACTCTTCCGTAGTTACGAAGTAACTACTTGTAGGTTGCGCTGTTCCTGAATTCTGTTATGTCCTACCAACTTGCCCAAGTTTCCACGCTTCATAACGTATTATTACGCTAAACCTCAAGCACAAAAAGGTGGCAGTCTCACGAAAAATCTACGTAGCATCCAATCTCAAAGCCATCAGTTAGTGCATGCATGAAAAACATTATTTCAAGTAAAGTAATTACTGTGCGAAATGAATGGAAAAATGAATGATTACTTTCAAGCTGCAGAGAACCAACTCGCTTGAGCCACAACACGATGGGTGGTACCAAACAATAGGTTGCAATTGAATGCACTTTAAAGTCTGTCGAAAAAAAGTAATGTCTACTTAGTCTTTAGTGTTAATTTTTACCATCACTGCAGACTTGGTCCTTCAGATCAGACCAAGATGTTGGAAAAAAGGGAAATTTTTAAACTGAATATAATTTTGTACAGTGGTTCATTGCCATGTGGAAATCCTAAAACTTCTTCCACCACTTGAGAGAACAGTGTGTGTTTACTCATCATGAGTGCAACCATTACTTACAACAATAGGTGCACGCCCAGTGCCGAGATGTACGTTAAGTATTAAATACTTCAGGTGAAATGTTGCCTGACACACTGTGCATTCGACAATGTTTCCTGATTCGGTGCCATTGCAGTGACATGTTTCCTTTGCACGTTTAATCTGTTTGAAGATACGCATTGACTGCAGCTCTCGCAATGTACTACTGAAATAAAAATTCCTCTTTGACTTTAGTACGTGTCAAAGAGATCTCGTCAAAAGCTCTGACTTCTGTCGTCAGCGAGGATTGCGTGAAAACCACAAAATACGCTTGACGCAGCCCTTTGAGCACCATTTGGGTCTGCACTTGCATACAGTATGCATGATTATGCGTGAGTTTATAGATTTTCATTATGTACACCAGTGTGGTACACTCTTCGTCAGCGAAGCATCTTTCATTGAAGCTGGACATTTTAATCCCGAGCCATCATTACCAAAGCATTCACACGACACAATAAAATCTGGAGATGCCCCAGATAAATGGCATGTTAGCTAGCCACAACGAGCCCACATTCTCTAACATATAAGCCCGTGTGTTTGGTGGACTCCTGGTCTCTTTATGACTGCTTAGATTTTTTCTCCGATTTCTGGAGCCCCATCGTCAAGTTGGCAACTTGAGGTGTTTTATATAGCCATTATTTCAGCCGCAAGGCTCGTAGCTCCAGTGCTGCATACTGCCACACGATACAGTAAAGAGGTAGTAATCCTGCCTTGACGTTCTTTAAGCCATCTCGGCGATATTGCCTGATCACGAGTTGCTACCTCAATTCACAACAGCGATTAGCTGTCAGCTGCACTTTTCTTGCCGTCTCCTAGTCCCTGTTCTTGTAAAGGTCCTAGTCACTGTTCTTGTAGATCAGTTGGTGCCTTGCTGAACGTGCAGCGCCCTGAGCAGTCGTCACGGGGGCAGAGTCGGTCTGGGAGGGATCACAAGAGCAACGTGTTCGGTGCAGTCGCCTGCAAAACAGCCTTTGAATCAGTGCCCCTAGTTGTGACGCCATCCAGGACGATTCTTTGCAGCAGGGAAACACTGGTGGGATTTTCAGCGGTTAGATCACACTTTAGGGTTGGGTCGCTTGTGCACTAATAGCAATCAGTTGGAGTGGCTTGCCTGCATTCTGCAAAAAAGGCTGGACAACTTGCTCATTTGTGGTGCATTCTGTATTGTGCGGTGGATATCATTCATTTCAGCAACTTGATGTAGGTTCATGGGACCCTATTTTCGGGCTAGAACTGGTTGTTGTCGGAGAGCTGGGTGGCTGCCTTACAAAAAGTTGAATGCTCAGTTACTAGTTCGAAAGCCTTGTAAGTGACAGAATAAAATTAAAGCTTTCTTTGCCTCTCTTTGATGCCTCAATCAATTTACAGGCAACGTGGGTAGGAGAGGGGTTGGTCAGGCCATACTGCCCATTTGCCTCTACACTAAATAACAGTGCAGCCACGTGTGTGCAGCATTTCCCAAGGCTGAAATCTTCATTGAAATGAGCTTTAAGCATAATTAAGTTTATGGTCCATGGGAAGCAACGTGGCAAAAACAAAATAAGAAGAATTCTATGCGACAGAACACTAGTGAATAGAACCACACGATAGTTCTCACCCAAAAGCGATTAATTTAGCATGAGTGTGTTGTTTTCACGAAGTCAAAATATGGACACCAACCGAGCCATTGTGGCATGGTTTGCCGAAACTGCTCCCACTCGTCGCGCCCACTTAATTGCGCAGCTGTTCGGAGGCTGTTCGGTTGCTGAGTCACTTCTGGACGTTAAAGGTCCGCATTCGGATCGTACTGCTTGAACAACATTTTCACACACGCGTGGCAATTATTTGTGTGCTATCGTGACTTTTACAAAATTCACGAAATGTTAAATTCCGCATCAGTCCTTTGTAGTAGGACTACTCACAGAGATACAATAAAACAGCAGTTGGGGCATCGTGGCACTGCAATTCGCCTTTTGAATCGTCTGCTTACCCGGCCATGCAAGTGCAATGAGCACTTTCAACAGTTCCGCTCTCCTTTACGACGCACCTTGCTTGGTACTGCCTAAAGAGTGTTTGACTGGTCTCAACCGTCGCCGCGACGAGAACAACGCCGTCACCATCGTCACCGCCCTTTGCTGCCTTGAAGGACTTCAGTGTTTTAACTTTGCTACTTATGAACATGTTGTAAGCCTCTCCCATCTTGCGAAACTAAAACTGTTCCCTCGTGTAAAAGCAGACTCCTTCTATGAGGTACACACATAAATATCTGCAGCTGTCACGGCGGGACAGATTCTCTAGGCCTGACGTGAAGGCAACCATGCAACGTCGTCGTCAAACGGATCCGGCAGTTCGTCACCTCCAAACGAAAGCGTCGTCTGGTTTCGGCCTTGCGCCTCGGCCTCAAAGAAGGAAGGGAAATAGGGGGAAAAGAAAGGCAGGGAGGTTAACCAGCCTATAGGCAGCCGGTTTGCTACCCTGCGCATGGGAGAGGGATGGGGAGATGAAAGAGAGCAGAGAGGGAAGAGAGAAACAGCACATTCGGCAGCACACGCTCGCACACTCAGTCATAGTCAAGTCTTGTCTTTCGCGGTGTATGACATTGCTGTTACAGTCGCTTGTTCAAGTCGGTGTCGCTTAGGAATTTCAAAAGATCTTTCGTCGCCTTCTGTTGCAATGTCTTCTCTCGGGCACTTGACAGAATAGTGTCCACAAACATTTGGCTGTTGTCGATGTGCGCAAAAGCGGACGCCAGTGACTGTCTCTGGATTTCATACAACGGACCGTCACACAAGATGATGTGGTGTAGCGTCTCTTCGCAATGACAGGCATCGCAGAGAGCGTTGTCGGCCATTCCTATGACAAAGGAATAGGATTTTGTAAATGCCACTCCTAGCCATAAGCGATGAAGAACGGTGGCTTCTCTTCGGTCGAGTCCAGTGGGCATGCGGAGAGCCATCAAAGAGGACAGGTGGTGTTGACGATTCGTATCGATGCTTGGGGGGCACCATAGTGAAAACGTGATTTCACGTGCAATTCGTCGATGATTACTGGCAGCGTCGGTCCTCGAAAGTAATATGGCTTTTTCTCGTGCTCCTTCAAGGGCTGCCCGCGCGGCAGTATCGGCATGTTCGTTCCCTATGATGCCGCAGTGACTTGGCAGCCATTGAAGCGTCACATGATGACCTTTCTCGTGTGAAGTGTGGAGAAGGCATCTAATTTCGAAAACAAGCTGTTCGTATGGCCCACGACGCAGTGCTGAGAGCACTGATTGTAGGGCAGCCCTTGAGTCGCTGAAAATCGACCATTGTTGCGGTGGTTCCCGATTGACTACACAAAGTGCAGCGCGCAAAGCATCTGGTTGTACTGCCTGTAGAACACGAATATTGGTCTTGCAGGTATTGCTAAGCACGGGCAAGCTATATCTGAGGAAACCGAGAAACATGGCCCTGTAGAGCTCCATCATTGCGTTTACTGACATCCCCCCCGTCTTTCCTGCCAGGAACTTGAACAGTTGGGAAAAAGCGGTCAGGCGCTTCTTCATATAGGCCACATGCGGACTCCAACAGAGGTCCCTATAAATAATGGCGCCCAGAAACCGGTGGGTTTTGGCGTAAGAAATCGGTCGCCCGCAGATTGAGATGACATAAGGGGTCATTGCTTTGCGAGTGAAGGCCACCAGCGTGCATTTTTCTGGTGATATGCTGAGACCTTGTTTGAACAAGTAGTTGGCAATTATAGTTGCTGCTTTTTGAAGCCGGGAACGTATCTGAGGACGTGTGACTGCCGATGTGCAGACACAGATGTCGTCTGCGTATATTGAGATTTTAATGGTGCTTGGCAAGTATTCAGCAAGGCCAATTAGTGTAAGATTGAATAGCGTCGGGCTAATAACTCCGCCGTAAGGAACACCCCTGGAAGTATAGCTTCGCGTAGTTGGGCCATCTTCTGTTGACACAAAGAATGTTCTTGCAGCCAGGTAACTCGAAATCCACCGAAAGACTCGACCACCAAGGCCAACCACCGTGAGAGCACACAAAATGGCTTCATGTAGTACATTATCATAAGCGCCTTTCACATCTAGAAACAAAGCTGCAGATAGTCGCTTACGGGATCTTTCGTGCTGAACGTACGAAACTAGATCAACGACATTCTCAATAGAAGAGCGGTCGCGTCGGAAACCAGCCATTGAATTTGGATAAATCTTGTAGTGTTCAAGATACCACTCCAGGCGGCCTAGTATCATCCGTTCCATTATCTTCCCAACGCAGCTGGCCAGTGCTATTGGGCGGTATGAGGTGAGTTCGAGTGGGGATTTGCCCTGCTTCAAGATGGGTAACAATCGGCTTACCTTCCAGTCATCAGGAACATTGCCATCCTGCCACGAGATGTTGTAGAGGCTGAACAGTTCTCTCCAAGCACCTTCCCCAAGGTTGCACAAGGCTCGGTACGGAATACCATCTGGGCCCGGAAAAGTTGAACGCCTGCAGAGTGCTAGTGCCGCCTCGAGCTCCTCCATTGTAAAGAGGAAGTCCATGTGGTAGTCACGGAAACGGGGGACGTCATCTCTCACGGGAGAATCTGGACGAGTGACTTGGTTGGCGATCTGCGCAAAGAAATCTTCTGCGACATTGATGTCTTGCCTCCTTTGAAATAGCGCGAGCGCTTTGAATGGAAAGCGCTGCTCCGTAGGGTGACGCAGACCTCGCACCGTTTTCCAAATGTGTGAGAGTTGCTTGCGAGGGTCTAGTGACTGGCAAAACGTTGTCCATTGTTCCGACGCTAATCTATCCATGCAACGCCGAATCTTCTTTTGCATTCTCCTGGCTGCCCTAAGATCGTGAATTGATTTTGTACGACGATACCGACGCTCTGCACGGCGTTGCAGTGCTCGGAGTCGCTCCAACTCTATATCAAAGTCGTTTCGTGTGGAAGATATCGTCACCGTGCGAGTGGCGTTTAGCATTGTGCTCCTAATTGTTTCCTCTAACCCAGATCGTAGGCCATCGCTGCAAGCGTCTTCCATGTCAGATTTGAAGTTGGTCCATTAGACTGCTCGAATGATCGTCCGTGGACCATAACTAGACAAGCCTTTGATGTTAAGGAAGATTGGAATGTGATCACTTCCTCGTGTCTCATCATCTGGAAACCACTTGACGTATCTCGCGAGGGAGTTGGTACAAAGGCAAGGTCGAGACAGCTGCCGTATGTCACCCCTCGAAGAAACGTGGGGTTGCCATCGTTAAGAAGAGTAAGGCCATAGTAGTAGGCGATGTTTGCTAACCTACGCTCTCTTGCATTTGTCCGCGTACTGCCCCATGCGTGATTGTGCGCATTGTATTCACCTATGAGGACCCAAGGTGCAGGACACACTCTCAAAATATCCGCTAATCTCCTGGAATTGAGATTATTCGACGGCGATATATAAACGCCTATGAGAGCAAACATGAGTTTGTTCTTTTTCACAGTGATGCAGACATACTGATTGTCATCGTGAGGTCTCGGCCTCAAGCTTCCTGAAGTAGCTACTCGGCCTAGTTTGGCACTACAAGCGTGCCATCATGGTATCCAACGAAAACAAACACAGAGACAAGCCTACAAGCCGCGAAAAATCTCCGTGCCGCCGCATCGCACAGCGTAAAACGTGGCAGAAAGTCCCCCACCGGAAGCTGCGGGGGCCAACACGCCTGCCAACCAGTGTATGTGTATGCGTTTCAGTGGCGGTGGAACCTATACACGAATTGTATAGAGGTATAGCAGACTGAGGA